CAAAAAAACATTACCACTCAACAAGACAAAATAACACTACCACTCAACAAGACATAATAACACTGCCGCCCAACAAGACAGAATAACACTGCCACTCAACAAGACAAAATAACACTGCTACTCAATAAGACAGAATAACACTACCACTCAACAAGACCGAAACAGACTACCACTCAACAAGACAGAATAACACTACCACTCAACAAGACAGAATATCTCTACTACTCAACAAGACAGAATAACACTACTACTCAACAAGACAGAATAACACTTCTACTCAACAAGACAGAATAACACTACTACTCAACAAGACAGAATAACACTACTACTCAAAAAGACGGCTAAGAACTACTTCTTAAGCGGCACTTGAGGCATGAGACCCAACGTCCCTTCTATCCCTCTGAAAACAAATACCAGCCCAGATTGTTTGACTCGAACTTCCTATCTCAAATATCAAACTCACACCGGTCGCCCCGGCTGCACGTGTGCTGTTCGGAAGAGGCCGGCTACTCAAACAAGATGGGGAAAAACAGTCACCGGTGTTCCTTTCGGGGCCATAGACCTGAAAAATAGTTCCAGGTCGTGGCAAATTGAATGCACATAGGGTTGAGAGTGAGTGCGCTGGTTTTGTGGCCATATCTACATTTGCTTTAGATTTGCTGATTCTGTGTAAAAGATGGAAGATTCTGGATGTGGTACGGTGACGTTCAAGCGTTTTTTGAAGTAAGTAACAGGCAGACAGATTGGCTGGTGCTGCACCAGGGGGTAGTGACTTGATGCAGGACAATCTTGATTTAGTCAAAGACCTCGGAGAGCAAGCGAATAATACGGACTCGCGAACAGATCGTTACAGTGTGGAGAGAATGGTGAGGCCGGGCGTGGCCAGAGGATCTATTTGATGACACACTGAGCTCACTAGAAAGACAAGTTAGTTAGTTGCGTATCCTTTACAGGACGGTGCAGAACCAAGCCCAGCCTTTTTTGCTGATGTAGTTTTTCTATGCAAATTTACGTCCAATATTTTGCCATTGCTCTCTAGACAGTCGGCTTCTCGATACTAATGTCGAAACCAACGCAAGAAGCAAGGCCGGCATCCCGGCTTTACGAAGCGCATTCGCTACGTCGAAGCCACAGACGCCGACGGAAAGACAAGATGGATATTTAATCAAGCTGCTACTAGAACAGCGAATTTTGAACTTTTCAATGGCTGTTGAAGATGAGGACGAAGCAACTATAGAAATATCCCGAGTGTTGTATTATTGGTTCTGAACGCGCTACTAACAGCCTAACAGAAATGAACATCAGTCCTAATAGTGCTCTTGACAGAGCTCATCAACGAACATTACATTCCCCCCCCCCCCCCCCCTTCTTCCCGACACTTGGATGAGGTACAAGGTGGAAGAGAAGAAGAAGAAGAAGAAGAAGAAGAAGAAGAAGAAGAAGAAGAAGAAGAAGAAGAAGAAGAAGAAGAAGAAGAAGAAGAAGAAGAAGAAGAAGAAGAAGAAGAAGAAGAAGAAGAAGAAGAAGAAGAAGAAGAAGAAGAAGAAGAAGAAGAAGAAGAAGAAGAACGCACAACTAATCTTTGAAGAGAAGAAAGGACATGTTTCATGCAATTAGGGCATGAGAATATATATGGTGCTTGATGTATAATTTACTAGATTTTATTGCCCGGTTTCGCCCTGGATGGCGAAAGAAAGTCTTATTCTCACGTCTACTACCTCATCTAGGTCTCTATCGCTGCCCTATGTGTAGGCCTAGTGAAAAGAGGGATCTAACTTAAACGCTATATTTAATATCCCATCTTCTACTCGATCTTCGTCTCTACCTCTGCCCTATATCAAGGTCTAGTGGAGATAGGGGTCAAACTAAAATCCTGTATTTAATATTCCATCTTCTATTTTATCTTTGTCTCTGCCGCTGCCGTATCTTTAGTTATTGCCCCTAAATGCACCCGAGGCACATCCTGTATTACTAGCACCAGTATTAAACAAATTGTCAGAAGTCTGTTTCTTTCCTGCCTCAAGAGTCTGTATTCCCTACCTGCCTCAATATTATGTCATAGTGCGAGTAATTGAAGAGATAATCATTGGCTAAAGACCGCACTGTGCCACTATTATGGGCCTCAATATATATATATATATATATATATATATATATATGTTTGTGTTTGTGTGAGTGTGTGTGTGTGTGTATGTATGTATATATATATATATATATATATATATATATATATATATATATATATATATATATATATATATATATATATATATATATATATATATATATATATATGTTGGTAATTTGCGGTGTTTAGAATTTGTAGCAATGCTAGCTCGTGAGAAAAAGACTAGAAGAAAAAAAAAGGAAAAGACTGTAGGAATTAACAAGGAATAGATACCTTGGAGAAATCGAGCAGAGATGGTCAGATGAACTAGCGAACAGTGCCAATTATGTAAGGGGAGATTACAGAAGGGAATGGGAGATTAGCATGTCAAAT